GATCCATAACCGAATTGATAAAAAATTCTTAGATTGTTACAACCCTTTTTTATGTTCGTGATCTTTGAACATTTGATCTCAATATGTCAATTAATGTGTGTTTGGCTGTTTGTTCACGGGTTTGAGGGTTTGCTTGAAATTTTATGTTTCCAAAGAAATCACGGCTAGGGATGGTCTTTATCACGAACAGAAATATTTGAGTAGCAGAACGTCACGTAAGTCATCCATACACCTTTTTTAATAACGATAACATCTAAAAAGTTAAAGAAACATTAGAGAGATGGCAGAAGATCTCAACACCACATATGAATCGACTCAACACATTTTGGTTAATGCTTTGAGTATGAAGCATGTCAATGCTAGATTCGTATCAAATCTTTTGCAAAAATGCCGTCGAATAGAGATCGTAATGTAGTTGAGGACTCTACATTCCACAAGCGCATCATTACTGTTGACAAAACGAGGGTTAACGAGTATGACAAAAGCGATGCTTGTCAACATAAAAACAAAACTAAACGCTCAGAAAATGTATTCACCCGATTTGATCCCTGGTAGCTATTTCCTAAACTGAACTATCCTTATTAGTAGACATTGCAAGTATCGAATGAAGTAAAATAAACCGCTGAAGGGACTAAAAGGAAATTTACATAATTTAAGGAGTATAAAGATCTAAATTTCATTAAACACACCGACCAAAAATTTAGTCTTAAGTATATGTAATCATTTATTTCTTAACGGAGACTTGAATTCAAGGTTTATTACCACAGCTTATACGTATCAATCACAACTTATAAACCTACAAGTTGAATTGTCAATTAAGCCGACTATATTTGATCGCTTCGACCTCCAAACATTTGACATTAAATCTCGATTATTTTAATGTAATATGTGTATATTTTCGAATGAACCACTTTATAAAGCGCACCTGTCGCATGTGGTGTACATGGTTTATTCTATTACTCGTTTCCGCTTGTGCGCGTACAAAATCAAAAAATAGAACTGAGTGGTTTTATAGATATGTGGGTTGCAACGCCCGCAAACGATGCTTCGACGATGCATTCTGCGGTTGAGTAGCTTCGCTTAGGCGGAAATGCTCATAAATTAACAATGATTGATTTTTGACGTTAATCAAAATCGTTGAGCCGCAAGAGCCAATGTCAGATAGCGTTTCAACGCATCACAATAAAACACACACCACACCTTCCATGGTTGGCCGTTTATGCATTTTATTGAACGCCAAGCCCTTGCAACCAACCTCAACGCATTTCTCTTTTGTTGTCTTTGCACATCAATCCCTCCAACAACATTTTGCATTTACCGTCATAATAAAAGAAATTCATAATGTCATAGAAAACCGCACACAGAGCTTGAATTAAATGTAATTTTCCTGCTCATTGTTCCGCTCTTCTCCTCCCTTGGCAGACAAAATCTCAACTCCGACTTCACCGACTCTGCTTTGGGCTCATCGGACAAATCACCGCTGCCATATGGAAATTTCCAGTTACGCGACACCACAGTGCAATCAATTCTCAATCATCCGCGCTACGGACCGAAGTAAGTTCTTGCTATGGTGACAGTCAAACTGAAAACTAAACATATTTTTTTTTTTACTTTTCTCTTTCACAGATCCCCCTTGGGATCAAATATGTACACATATTTGAAATTTGGACTGCCGCGCGTATTTCCACCTAATGCCGGTTCGCAGCGTTCGCACCGACCGCCAGGCCCAGGACCGGGTGGTGTGCGCGGTCGTGTTAATCGTGGCTTCCGCGATAGTTCAGGTGTGCCGCCAGCAGGTTCATCAGGCTACGATAGTAGTGACAACGAAACAACGCGCAGTCGAGTGCCGCCCAACTTGAGGTGAGCTCACTGGAGAAATTACAAAACATATACATATGTAACTAAATTACATGTTATTCCTTATAGAAAATACCGCAGCGAGTCGGACTTCCGTGCCATTGGCGGCATACCAAGCTCACGTCCCGAATCACGCGCACAAGGTGTACCAATGACGGCACTGCGACAAGCGAATAGCCGTGCAAGTATAGCTGGTAAGTATTGTTTACTTTATCAGTACGCCTTTTTTAGCATACCGGTGCTAATTTTTATATAATGACTACTACTTTCCTCTGACACCCGCACGACAGTGGGTACACACATTAATACACATCACTATATGCCGAATGGCAAACATTATGGTCATCGTTCGCACAGTGAAGCCGATTTGTTGGCCGGTGGCGCTGACGTCATCGGTTATGACTACGGAGAGTCACGTATCTACGGCACATCGCGCAATCGCAATTCAGACCATCCAAACGGTGGACACGCCAACTACATTATGTCCAGTAGGAAACATTCGAGTATTGGGCTCGTCTATCCCAATATACAGGTGCATTGTCTGGATGTGAATCCATGTCTACGCGGAGTTTCGTTACAAGCTAAGGCAGGCGATTTATTCGCTATAATGGCAACGTCGCAACGTGAAGGCACAGCGTTGACAGAGTGCCTGGCGGGTTTACACGAGCGTATGGGTGGTGAAATTCTCATCAATGGCCAACAAATCAATAGACGCGGTTTACGCGAGTTGTGTAGTTATGTGCCGGCGTTAAGAATATCCTCGCTGGATCCGCGTATGAGCGTGCAATGTACTTTGAATTTCCATGCCGCATTAAGAGGACCGCTAGATCGAACGGACCTCAAGGAAAGGGTATGTGTGTGAAATAGAAAACTGTTTTGAGTTTTTATTTGAAGCAATAAGTTATCGCTTTCTGCATTAGATGGATGTGCTAATAGAGGATCTAGGTTTGACTACGGTGCGCGCCTCAAATGTGTCTTCCCTTACACACTCTGAGAAGCAGCGTCTAAGCGTCGCTTGTCAATTGCTCGCACAGTCGTCGCTGCTCATACTCGATCAGATTACTAGTAATATGGATATCTTCGACACATTCTTTCTGGTGGAATATTTGCGGCAATGGGCAAGTGGTGGACGCATTGTAATCATGACGCTACAGCCGCCCACATTTGAGATACTATCAATGTGTTCCAGTGTACTGCTATTATCAGGCGGGCGAACTGTCTTCTCCGGCAGCCGTTCTGATTTACCACGACACATGGGCGAGTTGGGCTATCCGTGTCCGCCCTTTAAGAATCCAGCCGACTATTATTGTAAGTGAAGTTTTTAAAAAAATATTTATATATCGCTTAAGCACATTGCTCCTTTACAGTGGATTTAGTTACATTGGATGACCTGTCAGCCGCTGCCATGCTGGAGTCATCGGCACGCATCGAATCACTGGCCAATTCGTGGGATCAAATGAACTCTGAACCGCCGCTTGCAGCACCACCGGCATCATTGCCCAACTTCACAAGGAAAGCAGGTTTCTGGGGACAGATGAAAGCTTTAATAAAACGCTTTGCCGCCTACAAACAACCAGGTTCGCTGCTTACCTGGATCAGTAAGTTGATTGCGGCGGCGGTGCTTTCACTTTGCATCGGTTGCATTTTCTGGGATGTACCCGCATCAGATCCACAACTCACCTACAACGATCGCTTTGGTTATCACCACTGCGTTATGGCGGTGGTCTACTGGCCATTGCTACTCTTGACCATACGCGACGCGCAAGAGGATCGACGACATGCCGAGCGCGATATACGCTTGGGTCTTTATTCGCGCGGTCTCTACTTTACAATACAGGTAATCTATATCATATTTATTACTTTTTGCTGAGAGTGTTTTCAAAAGAAGGTTGCATTTAATTACAGTGCCTTTTGGGACTGTTTCCGAGCCTTTGCATCTGGCTGGCCTACTTGCTGCCGGCGCACAGCATGGCAGGGTTATATACCTATTCGACCAGCAGCGATGCTGGCATCTATCTCTACATGGGTAAGACTGAAGCTTGTGTTTGTGGATATACACGTAAATTTAACAAAATTTTTCATTCTCAGGTTACATGCTGCTTTATCTCACCGTCATACAAACCCTTGGCCTCTTCTGCGCTCACCTAATGCCCTGCAAGGTGTCCGCTACTATTTTCAATGCACTTATCACGCTGGGCCTGACTGCTGTGGGCGGTTACGCCGTACATCCGCGCGATCTCTCGAAATTGTGGTCTTGGTCACAGCTGATATCACCCGAGAAGTGGTTGCTACCTGTTCTGGTGCAGGACGAATACAGCGCAGACACGCTAACCAACTCGGCGGGTCTACAGCTTTGTCGCAACAAGCAGGTATGTGCTCAGTTTATCACTGAAAGTCTGACCACAGCAGCAAGCTAATGAAATTTGTCTATGATTTCTGTTTTGTAGGTGCAACATCAGGAGATCATCGTGCAGCAGCCGTGCCCACCACCGAACGGCACCCATGTGCTAGCCGACTTTCAGCTGCTGCCGCGCAATCACATACTCGATCCGAGCGAGACGTACGAGCAGACCACCACACTAGCTCTGGTATTGGCCTCGGTAATACTCTTCGTAGTGACCTTTTTCGTTTTCGTGTGCAATTGTCGCAATACTTTCCGCAAGAAACAGAAGCGCATGTAAAAGAAAAATTGTTTCATAAAAGAACACAATTTTTTGTAAAAGAAAAATAGTTTAAAAATGTAGTGCATAGAGAACGTGAGCTAAGTGCTAAAAAAAAATAAAAATAAATTAATATTTATGCTGACTTCCATAGTTTGTAGCAGAATACGCACATTTTAACAACGCATTTACCGACGTAATTACTATATATAGATATATATATGCTAATTGAGTAATAATTAATTTTTATAAAATACTAAATAAATTTAGCCAACGCGTTCCAATTGAGAATGATTAAGTGCGATGTGTACACAACATGTACGTATGTATGTATGACTTCAATATTATCATACTTAAATTTTTTTAGAAATAAGCGCTTAAGTTTTTTGTATAAATAGCGTTAAAAGGAAAATATATACATATTTTAAATTTAGAATAAACGAAAGTCTTGTCAATTAAAGTGCAAATGATAAGCAGTTTGGCTGGATTAGAAAAGTGTGCATGTATGTATATTTGTATATATTTCTATTGCTTATTGTTACTAAGAGGATTATGCTTTGCTTGCTGAATAAAATGTAGTATTTCTTATCAATGATGGAAGAGACGCAAGTTTGTGTGAGCCAGCACGATGCCGTGTTCATTGCAGGCCTCGATGACGCCAGCATCATTGGTGGAACCCGACGGACTGCCGATGAATGATACACCACTCTATATATATATAAAAAAAAGATAACATAACAATTGTAGTAGTTATCGCATATAATAACAATTACGAACGCTTACCAATCTAGCGCGATCGATGTTGTCACGGAATGGAAAGAAGGCATCAGAGCCCAAAGAAACGCCATCCAATTGCTTAAGCCAATCCGCCTTTTCTTGCGCGCTCAACTGTGAAGGTACCTCCTCAAACCTGCAGCGTCGTAACAAAAACAATAATTAATTTAAATATATATATTTTTAAATATTTACTCAAACTTACATTGCCTGGAATTGACTGAGCGGCATGTCCTTGCCCACAGTACCGTTCACGTAGTTATCGATGGCATTCGAGATTTCCGCACGCTTAACGCCCGCCTTGAATTTCATGCCGGCAACACGTGGGTGCTGGCGCAGCCACCAATTATCGGCCTTTTCACCAGCCAAACGTGTGCAGTGTATGCGCGACTGTTGACCGGCGCCAATGCCAATGACTTGGCCATCGCGTGCATAGCACACGGAATTACTTTGAGTGAACTTCAGCGCTATGGTTGCCACAATTAAGTCGCGTATGGCATTCGCTGGTAGAGTGTTGTTCTTCGTGACGACATTGGCGAACAATGAGGCATCGATAACGGCATCATTGCGTTTCTGTTCTAGAGTTAAACCGAATATGGTCTTGCGTTCCAGTAGACTTGGCTCATAATTGGGATCCATCTGTTGATGAAATTAACATCAAAACAAATTTTAGCACATTCACCGCTAAAACTCACCTGTAGTATGCAGTAGGCGCCGTTCTTTTTCTTCTGCAAAATCTCCAATGCGGCGGGCTCATAACCAGGCGCAATAATACCATCTGACACCTCTCGTGAAATTATTCTTGCAGTCACCACGTCGCAAACGTCGGAAAGCGCAACAAAGTCACCGAATGAGGACATGCGATCGGCACCACGTGCCCGTGCATATGCGGTGGCCAACGGTGTCAAGCTGTCATACAAATCCTCTACCATGCATAACTTGGCTTGCTCACGACTCAATGGTGTGCCAACAGCTGCGCCAGCCGGTGAGACGTGCTTGAAACTGGTCGCGGCGGGCAAATTTAGTGCACGCTTCAATTCGCGCACAAGTTGCCATCCATTAAGCGCATCACACAAATTAATAAATCCCGGCGAAGCGTTGATCACCTTAAGAGGAAGCGATTCGAGTTGTGTGAAGAGCTGCGCGGGTTTTTGGTGTGGGTTCATGCCATAACGTAAGTTAAGCTGGGACCCGCCTGACGAATATTGCTTGCGGAAATAATCGGAAATTGCATCGTCGTAAGTGGCAGTGTGTGTGAAGGCTTTGAGCGCCAAAACTTTTCTAAAATCAATATACATACATACATACATTTATTATTTACAATTTAACAACTTAAATTTGTAAAAATTAACAAACGGAGGATTATAATATATATGTGCCTTACCTAGTGTCCAAAGTAGTATCGCCATGCTCTTTGATTTCGCTGAGCACTTTGACATAATCGTTGGCCTCGCATATAACCGTGACACGTGCATGATTTTTAGCTGCCGCACGTAGCAGAGTGACCCCGCCAATATCAATATTCTCAACAGCATCGGCCACGGTCACATCAGGTTTGGATACAGTGTTCACAAATGGATATAGATTGCACACAACCAAGCTGACTAAGTCGAAGTTTTGCTGCTTCATATCAGCAAGATCGCTTTCAGTGGTGCGTGACAGTATGCCAGCATGCACGGCTGGATGCAGGGTCTTAACACGACCACCAAGCATTTCTGGTGCGCCGGTTATGTCGGAGACATCATCCACAGCAAGACCAACATTACGCAACGCTGTGGCAGTGCCACCACTAGCTACCAGGCGAAAACCAAGCGCGGCAAGGCTTTGACCCAAATCGATCAGACCGGTTTTGTCGGACACACTCAGAAGAGCTATCAACATTTTCAAAATATGGAAAATTTATGTTTAAGAGTTATAATTATGTGGATATTATGCGTAAATCTAAGGACACTCACCTATACGTTTCGCTGCCATTTTCCTTAGTTAAGTATATATATAAATATATATTTATGGAGGATATGTGGTAGAGAATCAGTACCGTTTGCGAACACAGTTGAACTGTAAATAAAAATGGTATGGGTTTGGTTGCTTTATTATCAAAGTAAACAGTAAGAGATTTCTGAAGATTTGACGGTTACTTTCAATTGTTATTTTAAATTGTTGCAAACAATGACCTGCTTTTAACACCCATCATTGCATTAGGTACCGATAAGCAGTTCGTTGCTTTCCGGCTAATGGGAGATAATTGAGATTACTGTAATTGACCTCTGATTTGAACCTAAAGTTATCAGTGATGGCTAACTGCCACATGCATACATATGTATGTATGTACAATGACCGGCCTACATTAGCTAACAAAAAAAAAGCGTCGTCGCTTATCTACTACTTTCGTCAGCACTCGGCAACCCTATATCCTATCAAACACGCTCGCCAACAAAAGTTACGTATGTAAACATGTGTATACACGTGTTTAACTATATATGCAAGTGTGTATATATTAGAATGTTAATACTCCAGACTTAATTTTCTGCCTTCGCATGCGGCTCAAATTGCTTTGCATCAATGTAAACATGTGGGTTTCTAAAACTTGTTGAATGCCGCTCTGCAAATATATACAATTTACAAAAATTACGTGATTTTTTCTAAAATCAGTATACTTAATTATTGACGGGGTAAAATCAAATCGAGTTTGCTCAACAATTTGTATACGATTTCAAACTTTGTAAATTATAGTATTCACTTTCGATACTATGGTTGCTAATCTTCAGTATCGGTACTTTGTATTAAAAAAAATAATATGTTCAAATAATACAAATTAATGGTAGATTAATATAAATAAATAGAACTTGATTTATTTTATTATTACCACTGTCAACCAAATACACGTTATGACTGAATTCAATAAATCCTAATTAGACTTTAATAAGTTGAGATTAGTTAGACCTTTAGCAAGCTGCCGGATCATACAAATATGCAGTGCAATTACTTTTTAAATGATGTTGCGCCAAAAGCTGCCTATATCTGCCAACCAAACTCGTTTATCTTATTTTTTATTTAAGATGTTTCAAAACATAATAACAAATTTTTAGAACAGTTTTGAAACCAGCTTTATTATTATCATTTAAGAATGAAATATTATAATCGAGATACAGCTCCATAATTGTTTTTTTATTTTGATTAAAAAAACCGCAAATAAATATTTTAAATATTTTCGTTTTTGTAACATATCTGTTATATGAAATATGAGCTTACACCCATCTGGCTGCACTCAGTTATTCTAATAAGAAACGTCATCGCTGGCATCAGCTGTCAGCGATATTGTCAAATTGATCTGATTGGTGATGTGTACTAACAGCTTAAACACTTACTAAATTTCCATTAATTATTCTGAAATCTCGAAACGGAGCATTGTGCATTTATAAATAGGACGAAATGAACTACAATCCAAATGCCGGTATCCGGAATCGTAAGTGGGAAACCTGTAAGGATGAAAATAGCGCAAGTACAATACGTGCATCCACTTGGTTCAACTGGTGGTGATAGCTTGAAGCAAGCATATCCACTAACGAAGTGGTTTATTGTTCTAGGAATTGTTTTGTTTACCTTTAAATTATATTTAATCTAATATTACCAGTAGTTAACGAGTTGCTTATTAAAGTGTTTGCTTTATTTGTTGTTATTCTAACATATAACATAAATATGTCTATTTGTTTGTGAGTATTTGTTCTGCGCGTTTTCGTCTTGCAGTTTTTTATGAAATGAGTATGTTATACATATATATTATTATTAATATTCTCTATATTTGCGGCAAAAAAAGCTCAAGGTCCATCCCGCAAGCCAAAACGTGTCAGTGATATAAACGCTATGGGACCAACGGCTCCAATGAACGCACCGCTGCCTTATATGCAGCCAACAGTTGGAGCGACAATGCCAGATCACACAGCAGGAGTATCTGTTGGTTATGGTATGCCGCCACAACAAACGACCACCAACGTTGGTGGTTTCAATACTGGACCAGCGCCGGTGCCAAATCAAAATTACAGCTGTACTGCGCCACCAACGTCGCAGCCAACATTTGTCGCAGCGCCAGCTGCGCAGCCACAATATGGTGGAAATATGCCAATGGGCGGTCCAGCAGGTATCGGAGCAGTACCGGGTGCACAGGGACAATTTCAAACAGGTGTACCACAATTTGCTATGTTTCAGCAACCTATTGTGCAAGATATGGCTATGCAATATGGTCAGCGTTTGGCTGATCAAGGCAAGCAGCTTGTGGAGAATCAATTTGAGAAGTGGGTATCAGTGGCCAAATTGAAATATTATTTCGCTGTAGACAACAAATATGTAATAAATAAATTGCGTTTACTGCTCTTCCCATTTACACATAAGGTACGGAATAAAAATGATTAATTTATTGTTTATAATTTAAATATTTAATATAACTTAATTTATTTTAGGACTGGTCACTGAAGTATGATCAAGAGAATCCTGTACAGCCACGCTATGACATCAATGCACCAGACCTCTACATACCTACAATGGCCTACATAACGTATGTGGTGGTGGCCGGTCTCATGTTGGGCATGCAGAATCGTTTCTCACCCGAACAACTTGGCATACAGGCGTCCAGTGCTTTGGCTTACTGCATCTTTGAATTGGTTGTCTATTCGATCACCCTGTATGTGGTGAATATAAAAACAAGTCTGAAAACGCTTGATCTACTCTCATTCGCCGGTTACAAATTTGTCATAATCGTAACGTGTTTGCTGGTTAGCACACTTTTCCATGGCGTTGGCTACTACGTGGCATTGCTCTATACAAGTCTTACGCTGGGTTTCTTTCTGGTATGCTAATTAGAATTTTACAGCATTTCATTGGTATAAATATCTCTCTCTCTCTCTCAATTTCACAGTTACGCACATTGAAGACTAAAGTACTGCATGATGCTACACCGTCAGTCAACAGTGGCGCTATCAACTATGAACCATACGGCAATCCGCAGCAACTTGACTACACTGGCGGTCGAAAACGAAAGTTATATTTCCTCTTTCTCATTGTAGGCGGCCAAGCATTCTTATCATTTTTATTATCGAAACACTTGTACTTTCCGGATGCTGCGGTATTAGCCGTTAGAAATGAGCAATTTTAATGCTTAATTGTGCTTATTTTTGGTATGACTGATGTGCGTACTTTTATTTCGGAATGTGTTTTTGTTGGAAGCTGCTTTAAGGAAAACTATGAATTTTTGCCTAAAGGTTATGTGTAACTAAAAAAAAAATATTGTAATTTTATTAACAAAATTAACCTTAAGTTGCCTGAAGTGAAAGCAAACCTAACGAAACTTTGCAAAGGTTCGATGTGAACAAAAGATATTGGTAGTTTTATAAAAAGAAATAAAGAAATCGGCATTTCAACATTAATGTGACAAAAATAGAGATTACTAATTAGAAAGCTTTGTCATACGAATATACATACATACATAGAAACAAATATTAAATTCGATTCCATACTCTAAGCATATTTTTGTTAGCGAATGACTAAAATAAAAACGAAAGAAACTACATAAAGCCAAAGGTATTAATCATTTTCAGGTAAATAGAAACACATAATTTTACATATTTATTATTGATTAATACTAGACTTTTAATTATCTGTAACTGTAACTAAGCGCAAACTATGAACAGAGTGGCGACCGTTCTCATAACAGTCGGGTCTACGTAACCGGAACGAACTCGGATTTTTTCTGGCCAAGGACTGTCAACTCTGACAAAATTCTGCCGCTTCAACAACAACAGAGTGCGAATTTTTTAAATTTTTGGTTAAAAATTATATTTTAAACTTCCAATTTTGTAACCCAAAATCAAAATTGAAAATTTAATTTATAATCCAAGTTATCCGGGATAAAATTTTTAATTTATTAATTAAATAATAATAATCGAAACATCTTGGATTAAAAATTGAAAAAGTATTTTGTAATTTAAAAATTGGAGTAACAATTAAAAAAACTATTTTTCAAATCACGGGGTGAAATGAGAAGAAATAAAAAAAGCTTCACATACATACATATATATTAATATCTAACTGAAACACTATAATTTAAAACAATTAAATATAAATAAGACTAAAAGAGCTGAGCTATGTTGATGTTTAATTAAAAACAAAACTTTTTTCTATCCGGCTTTTGAGATTAAAAAAATTCAATCCAACTTCCACATTTTTAGAATCAACATTTTTTAATTCTTTACATTCCGCTTTTGGTATTAATAAAGATTTGTTCAAGATTAGAAATTGGAATTAAGATTTTCGGCACTAAAATATAATATAAAAAAAATAAAATTAATTCAAATATTAATTGAATAATGCATTATTTGCAAACCTGCTCACCACAATATACAACTTTACACATATATTTGAAAAGCTTTTATTTTGTAATAATAATATTTATTGAATTCTTTAGTCTCTTTAATTATATGAAAACTCTCATCGGATGTTCAGCAAATGCACATGTTAATGTTATACACATACTTACATTTGCATGCATACTTCAGTTTACACGTGTATGTAGATTACATCATCGCATACATGACTATTGAATTTCATTGTCGTCTTCACCAACATAACGGCTCACATCATTGTCAGTACTATTTTAATTATGTTTTAATAACTTATGCTAGAAAATATAATGTACGCGTACGCATTCGTATTTGAACTGTACTACAACACACTTTGCTACAAATACATACATACATATGTATTTGTCGTTATCGTTTATGCATTGCAATATGCTTTCAATTGTCTATAACAAACTTGCTGTTAATAGTTGCTAGCTTTCTGCTTTATTTGCTAAGTTTTTATTTTTTTTTATATAAATTTTTATTTATTTAGTTTAAGAGTTTCGTAGTTTTTGCATTCTTTTAAATGTTAATTACATTACAATGTTGCATTTCATGTGTTTATGTGTTTGTGGATGTGTGTGTATGTCTATGTTATATACGTATATGTGTAATATTCCAACAAAATTTGCATTAGCATAAGAGTCTAAGGTTTCTATAACTATTACTCAACTCAAGAGCAAAACAAAAACAAAAATGTTAAACAAAAGTCGCAAGCCAAATTTTTTCTTAGATTCGCTTATTTTCGATTTTAATAAATTAGTGCAAACTATTATGTAATCATCAAGAATGGCAATGATTACAGTTACATCGCTCTATAGCATATATTTCATTTTAAGCAATAAAAAAACATTTTCCAAGTTTTCAAATCTACTCCGAAGGATCACATTTTCGCATATTCGTATTTTTGGCTGTAACATTTTACAGTTAGTGATTTTCACAATTTTTTCAATTGCTTTCAAACTGATGTTCTGTTAATTTATTAAATTTTTTTTGTTTTAATGTTCTTTTTGGTTCTTTAAATAATCAAATCATAACTTTGTACACTTTTTACATTAAATTTTTATAAATTTTACATAACGAAATATACATACATAGATACATACAAGTAATAAGGCAAAATATTATTTAGGAAGGTTTTTTATGGCTCAAAATTCTAACAAAAGAGACTCACTTCTGTGTTTTTGCCGCATAATAAAAATTTAATAAATTTGTTAACGATATTTGTTGGGATAATATTTTGCTTTTGCATGTCAGCCGACCGAAGTGTCCCGAACCGAGCTTAGCATATCTGTAGCAGAAATTGGATTAAGCGTTGGCACGCTTGTACTGGCTCAGAAGACTATTTGGAAGGCGATAACGATGCGACAAAATGTGTGTTTATTTAAATCAGTCCGAGTTAAATTTGATCAGATTGTGCAACACAGTAGCATTCTTCGAAATTGTTTGACCAATAATTTATGATATAGCATCAACAAAGACAATATTATTAAAATAAATTTTAATATAGAAAGATTTTTTACAAATGATTATATTTCAATATTACATCGAGTCTTTTTTTTTTGTATCAGAAATATTTTATTATTTGAAGACATTTATACCATCGTAGTAATTCATTTAGGCATTGTAACGGTTATTCAGGTTGCGAATGTTTTAATTAATCCAATTTGAATTAAATTGAAAAAAATTTAAAATTTTAATTTTTTATCTCAAAAACAGAATTTAATACTGATAAAGTACAAATCGTTTGAATATGAAAGTTTGTGGACCACTGCGCTATAACATTGAATATGGCTCTATGCGCGCTCTAGTTCAAAATTGTAGAACAAGCAATACAAAATTAAAAATTCAAAAATAATAAACAAGGTGTCAAAATTTTTTTAAATTCTTAATTATAAATTTGGGATAATTTTTTTTTTTCAATTCGTAAATTGTGTTGAACACATTTTTTTTTTTTAATTTTAAATTCGATATTTGTGGTTAGAAGTTTGAAAATTGCTTTTAATTAAGATTTTTAGCATTACAGAAAAAAAATTGTATTTAAATGTTAATTTAATTATTTTAAAGCATTGTTTGCAGCGCTGTTTTTATTTGTGGAAATTGCTTTACGGCAATAAAAATTAATCGTATCGCAATTAAAAGAAATACCCACTTTCTTCGCCAACCAGGTCTATATAACCGTTAACAGAATTTATCCGACACATTTGAGGAATGTTTTAAACTACAACAACAACAACAAGAGAAAGCTCCTTATTAGCGACAACCTATATGAATGAACTGGAGCGCTTAGGGTTGTTGCAAACTTTGAAATCCAGCTATTCACGAAAATATAACGAAATTTTAATCTATTCTGCGGCAGCGCACAAGAAGTAAGCTAGTTAAATTAACATTTTAAAGTCACCATAGAAATGTATTTCTTAATGATTTCTATTTTTTTATAATTATATATGTACATACACTTAAGCAGAAACTTAAATAATAATAAAAAAAAAATAATAAGCGTTTACAATTTTCACACGCTCTCTCTCTTTCTCCCTGTAATTAACGCTCTTTAATTTATTAACAGTAGCCATACAATCACTCAAAGCAATTGTCACACGTACCGAAATGCTTGACAAGACGCTTCTACATCGTTTAACGCACTACAACTAATCAATAAATTTTCAATTTTAATGATATGACTTTAATACAATACATAAATAAGAGCATAAACTCATAAGCATATATACTATATATAATATTTATATAGTATACAGTATACAGTATATACATATGGTACATACAAGTTATATGAATTAATTTTTTTTTTATATAATATACGTATAACACATTATTAACATAGCGTTGCCCAACATAAACTACTAGTAATGCACATTTTAGAATTAAAGCGATTTCTCTAGGATACTATAACATGGAAAATAATATTCATTTAAATTAGTTAAACAAAAAGGTTTCGAAATGATTTGCAATAAACGCAGAAACAACAACTTAAACTAGACGAAGTGCTGCAGCGGCAACAACATTTAGCTGCGCTGCGTTGCCTTGCAATGCGAGCAGCAAACGTTGTTACTGAGTCCTTGTTGTAGCGAGTCCTCGACGCAGAAAGCGTACAAGGCGCTGGCTTTTAACCTTAACAATTACCGTTTTGCGTACTTTGTGACGAAATACCTGCCAATGGATACATTTCTGTGTGTGAGTGTATACGGCGTGAATAATTGTTAAATCTATTTAGTCTACCATACATTTGATTTTAGCAAACGGTCGCCTCAATCTTAAAAGTCACAGTTCTATTGCATTTCGCTTATATAATATTTTCGTAATACAACAACACAATTCACAGCACCAACACAAACACACAATGCGAAACATTCTATGTATACAAATGTATGTGCGACTTTGTGTGCACTGAAGTAGACGCTGGAGAGTTGCTGGCGCAACGCACGCTACTTCCTAAAGTACTCTTAACTGTTTGCATTTGCTAAGCTTCTTTCGTTTCGCTGCACTTTTGTGTTTAGTGAGTGTTTTCGTTTAATGTTCGCTCGTTTGCCAGGCGTTATGGTGTGTGTGTGTGTGTGCTCACTATTTGCATACCTTAGTATTAAATCTGTGTATTATTTGTTTTCCTGTTTTGCTCTTGCCTTTCATTTCATTTCATTTTCGTTTCTTTTTTTCTTTTTTAAACTTTGTTTTTGCTTTCAACAAGTTGACTAAAAATATTTAATATATTTATATGCATAATAGTATTGTTTTACATACTTTGCTTGTATATATTTATGCTAATTACAGTGGAATATTTGAAAATAGGTTTATAGTTTTAGCATCGTCATTTTAAATGACGTTTAAATGGTATTTTTGTATGTTTTGTTTATATAAATTTTGCTTCTGACTTCATTTTTTACTTTCGCAAGTCTATTTTTAAGTGTAATTTGTAATGCACATACTTCACACCAGCCACCAGCTGCCATTTACACACACACCCAACGTTCACCTTGTGGTCTGGGCCGGCGTGCGCATGCGTTGGTAAATTTATTCTGGCGTTTCTAAAGACAAGCGTTTGCCCTTTATCCGATTCTGTGCATAATTGTTCATATTTATTTTATCGAACTATATTACCGTACCACCGGGAGGCGCCGCTTGACTTGGTGATAAATGCTGTGGTACATTTTGCTGCAGGCAAATATAAAAATGTATTTGATAAGCATAAGATTTGCGTGAATATTTTATGCATACTTACAGTTGCATAGCCGGGTCGCGCCCAGGTGTAGATGAAGCCATCTTGGCACGCGGTTAGGAAGCAATCTTCGCGAAATATCAACGCCGAGAGTCGCTCGTGCGCGATTTTCTTGCATATTAGCGGCTCGAGCAGTGGGCATTCGTCGAAGCGTGGACACGAGGGGGTGCCGATCAACTTCATGGGATCGTAGGAAGTCACCACAGCATTTGATGCTGCGCTCAATGAAGAGCTGTGTGAATGTGTATTGGATTTGCCCAGTTTAAGTGAACCGAAGCTATGCGCCGTTGTGCTGCTGCTGCCAATGCCGCCGCCGGCGCCACTGCTGTTGTGGTCGTTGCCGCTGGCTGTCGTGCTGTTGCTCGCACCATATGTCTGGTGATTGTGATTGCTGTTATTCGTTTGATTGTTGGACTTGAGCAGACTCATGCCCTTGCGATGTGTGCGATGCGTCGCCGCAATTTGCGATGCATCAAAGGAACCAGTTATTGAGGAGGTCTTCTTGTCTGAGTTGCTTAGAAAACTGAAATTCGAAAAGCGTTGCGTCAGGCTGTTGAAGGCCGAGACGCTCGAATCTGAAGACTTGGTGGAACTATTCGAGTTCTTGCTGTTGTAGCCGGACGTGGAGACTGTCGAAACGGTGTCCTTGTTGTTACCTTCAATGGAGTCCGATTTGGTGGCACTGATGCAGTTGGGAAATTTTATTGAGTTACCTGTTGCATTCGCCTTATTGTTGGAATTGTTCGCTTTGTTGTTACTGTTGCTATTCCCTGTTGTATTGCTGCCGGCTGGCGTTGCCTCATCCGGTGGCGTGTTGGCGTTTGACGATTGCGATGATATGGTGCAGTTCGCTGTCGAGAATTTACTTGAGCTGCTGTTGCTGTTGTTCTCTGGCGCTACTGTTTCTTTCGTTGGACTGCTGGTGTGTTGTGGTGGTGAGAATGGTGCCGTTATATTACCTATGGCTATTGGCCGTATCACTTTGATGCCATCCGCATCGATACCGCCGTTCATATAACTAGTATCGTTCAAATTAATGCTATTGACTCGTTGACGCAGCGACAATGGATGCCGCAGCACATCCTCCGTTATGTCCCACAGGCAAATCTGCGTATCCTGACTAACCGAGCCAAGACGATAGCTGATGGCCAATTTATCCGGTGCCAGCGCCGCCGACGACGATGCATCCGAACGAAACGATGCTGAGTGTGGCCGTTGTCGTGTATGATTCGGTGTGGAGTTTTTCTCATGCGCAATGCCGCTGGGGCCACCGGGTATGTACTCAAAGCCATTGGCCGTTGAATCGGCCGAGAAACGCGCCTCTCGCCCGATGCCATATTCGTTCATTTGATTTTCGTCGTCTGAAAAGTCACCGCCATCCCAGTTGGTGTACGATGTGGTGTAGGGATCAAATGCCACCACCGACACCCATGAACGATGACCTTGACCGCGTGCCACAACACGTCGCTCGTGCAGCGACCACACCGTCACCAGGTCATCTTCACCGCCAACAACAATGTATTTGCCATCTGGCGACCAACACACACACAAAAAGCCACCAAAATAGGAACGCGCTATGCCAAGCAACTCCATGGTGTCATAGTGAAAGACACGCAGAAAGCCATCTTGCGAGACGATAGCCAAATTGGAACCGCATGGCGAAAAGCAAAACTCATTGATGCAGCAATTCTCGGTGTTGAATATCCATTTGTAGAGTGGATTACGCGTCGATTTCGATTTGCAGGTGAGTATTGTATAGCCGTCACCCATTTTAAAGGGCTGATAATTGGGCGCAGTCGGTGTGCAGGGGAGGTCCTCGTTGTATAAATACAGATTGCCTGATGCGTGCGAAGCCAAAAATAAATTCGGTGAATTCGGTAGCCATTTCAGGCATGTCACTTTGGTCTTGTCAATCAGTCGCTAAAGTGAAAAGTTAAATTAATTATGTTATTTTTTTTATTTTAAGTTATTTTTTATATTATATATGTACATATACTACATACCTCTTCATTGTATAGCTTGCGCAGCTCACGCGGTCCTGGCTGTGGCGAAACGAGCTGGATTTGCCCTGTGGTGAAACCTACAAGCAGCGGCGCGCCAGTTGAGGTGGCTGTGGTCGCATTGAAGTCATGACAACTCGGATTGGTGCCTTTGTAGAATTTCTTGTCAATCGGTTTGGTCATTTCTGCACCCTGTCAAAATTAAATAATTTTGCGTTAAATTTCTCGAACTACGATTAAGAAAAAAAAAATTTTATACGAATATGAATTTTAGTTAGCCAAGAAAGAAACACAAATAGCACCATCCTACCATTGGATGGCTTTTGTAAAGATGTATGTATGTATTTAAATCAAGTTTTGATAAGTTGTTGACGTCAATATTTTGTCAAGTGCTAGAGAAAGCAATCGACTTTTGAGGACATTAAAAGTTAGTTATAATGGTTAAATAAAGAAAATAAGAAACGAAAGTCATTACAACGCAACAAAAAGATGAAACAAGAAAAAAAATATATACCCTTCACAAATGAAAAAGTCTTCCAAACAAGTACATCCAGTACTTTGATCGTTCAGTTTTTATGCCAGCTATTTGCTATAGTGGTGCGATATTGGTGGTTCCGACAAATGAGCGGCTTCTTGGTGCGAAACTGACGTTTGCTAAATTTCTCATGAACCGAGTGGCTAGTTTGGGCATATACAGACAGAAGGATATGGCTAAATATATATGGCTGATCATTTATAAATGGTATATCTCCTGTGCTTCCTCCTTGGTATTACAGACTTCGTGACAAACTTAATATACCATGTATAGGGTATACAAATTTTAATGATTACCATTAGTATGCCGAAACTTATGCAACTTTTATATTCAAATCCTCGCGATAATTATTTAAAAAATTAATTATATTATTTAATATCTATTAAACTGCAATATGGTATATATTTTTTTCATTATAAATAAACTTTTTGCATATGTAAGGGTGATAAAAACTAACATCGACAAGATCATTACGTTCGTTGAATTAGTAAAGAAAAATGATTTAATAAATATTGAGAGATTTATGATATAATCACAAAAATTGTGGTGTTATCTTAAATCTGCTATTAAGTAATGGAGAATTCATGAGTTGCATTTGCAAACCTTTTGAACTATTTCCCCACATTGTGAGTGATCATGCCGTGAATGCAAGTAAAGTCTGTAATTGATTTGATGCCTCATTTAATAACTAATTACACTTGAAAGTGTGGGCAATTAGCGAGACTTCACTTCCTAATACACATATACACAGAAACATACAATATTTATCTACATGTGTTTGAAAAAAAATGACTTGGCATCTTTTTTGAATTGAAAAATTAGAAAATGGTAAACTAATATTTGTGTCAACGCTGTGATAGGCGTTTTATAGGAGAGTTGCTATAACTTGAAGAGATTGCAAAATATAATGCACGTGCTTAAAAATAGTATTGAATACTTGAAAAATAAGGCTCGAGGTATCTATCTATCTATCTGTGGATAACGGTATATTTTATAATAACGACCGAAAAACTTCAAGCTGGTCAATTTTCTTTATTAATAAACTCAAGACGAAGTAAAAGGCGTCTATATTTATGCCATAATTCCAATAAGGAGACTCAGATATTTTTTAACTAAAAAGTAAACAGTTTTGTTGAGCTGTAATAGTAACTCTCTTTTAGTTATAATTCCAAAGAGGTGATTGAAGATGTCATTACTACTATTTTTGGAAAATATTATTTATAGTTGAATGCCTATAAATACGAGTACCAACATACGACAATATACATAGGCATTTCACACAATGAGAAAAACACAAAAACCAGCTGTGTGCCTGTCAACCCCTCTCGCCTACAATCCCGAAAACACACAAATAAAAGAGAAATGCTTAGCCTACTACTACAGCTGGATGGAACCGGCCAAAAGCATGCAACCTTAAATTCATTAATCTTTGACGTAGTCATGATATATCTACTAGTATTATCGCTCCAGAAATAGATAAATGTCTGCCTCAATATAATACATACACACATATTTATTTTGTTGTGTCTCAACTGTAATTATGATATGCGAATATGGCCATAACGACGTAAGTGGATATATGCAGAGCATACGAAGAGGATATACACTAGTAATATTAGATTAAATAAATTATGTGTATTTTATACATTATATACCACTATATACATACATATTATATATATTATATGTACAATACTTCATTAGTTCGTATATATGTATATATAATTAGGTTAGAAAATTTACGAAGTATAAAAGTACATAACTAAGAGTGTTAACAAAAAAGTTTATGTTCATGAATCGGACTATACATTTGCCACATACAAACATTGGACTAAATTTCCTGAAATATATTTTTTTGAAAATATCTAGATATATTTCAGAATTCTTACATTATTAAATTAGTGTTCGAATCAGCCCGAAAGTGGTAGAAGGAAGTAATAGTTATATTACAGTTCTCTTCTAAGGTTCTAACTCAATTTTGACAAATAAAGTTTGTATTGATATTGAAAAATATTAACGAAAAAATGTTTATAAAAATTAAAATGATATAAGAAAAAATAAAAAATAGTGTATGTTACGTCATCTCATCGGGAATTCTTTAATGGAAGATTATAATGCTACGAAATGTAAATCAAATTTTAATATCAGAATCAATCAAAAAATTTTGTTATAACTATAATTAAGATTTTGGTTTTAATTGAGATTATTTTGAAATATTTAATATTTGAAAAAAATGTAAGAAAATTTTTAATAAATCAAAATAAAAAAATGTAGATATATAAGAAATATTTTTTTTTTTTTCAAAATCGGAATTTAATTTTAACTTCAAAACGGTTCTGTATTCCAAGTGGGTTGGAATAATAGATATTATTACCAGACCTATTAGTATAGAAACGAAATATATACATATATAGTATAGCAAAATCAAGGAAATCAATTCATTTCGATTCACTTAAATATATTCCAATTCAAATTCGGAACATGTTTGATTTATAAATATAAAAATACCAAAAAATATATATAGAATCAAATCCATAAGTTCGTCCAAGCGAAAATATCGACTTATTTGTTATTGTAAAATAAAAATTATTAACAAATTTAAAAAAAGGCTTTGAAGTTTGGAGCACTACTATAAAAAAAAACAAATGTAAAACGTTCATAAGATAGGAATTATATAACTACTCGTTACTTTTTCAATTTTACTCAAATCGAGAAAATATAAAATGAAAAAATTTAAGTCACAATTAACTTTTCACTATCAATAAATGTTTTTTCCTAATGTTACTTAGAATAGTGGTACATGACATTATCCAATACCATGCATTAATCAAAAATATATGACAACCCTAATGCGGCGGTTACAATCAACTTTAGTATTTGTAATTGTACAAAAGCAAGTTGAAGTTGATGCTTTAAGTTCTGGATCAAAATAAAAAACGAAAGTTGCCACTTGTGTATGAACTAAAAAATCACCAACGAAATTGTAAATAAATAAACACACTTACACAAACACAGCTGCATAGGCTTGTTTGATTAAAACCAACAACATGTGTCTACATATTAATAGCGATTACGATTACTCGAAAATTATATAAATAAAAATTGTGTTTTTCCCCTTTCTTGCCGATCACATCATTACCAAAAGTTTGTAATATCACGCTTGAAGGCGCTACGTTTGCCATAAACGTCAAGAACTTCATGATCATCAATAGCGATATACCGCAAAAGCACCGACTACCAACATCGTCGCCATCTATAAACGCGATCATAAGAACTGTCAAGTTTAAGTTTGATTCGTGGCGATTATCTTTATAATTGTTGCGTAAGAGTTCAGTGTGACAAAGCAGAGTGTTGTCACCGCTCATTTGAGTATCATTGTTGCTTCTCGGTAGTTGCCGGCCGAGTGCGAATGTATTCGTGCACACCAATTGCCATATTTACATTTACACAAGTGCATTCTATGAATGTGGTTGCTTCAATTGGCGTTTTTGCAGTCGCAGCCACGTAAAGGTACTTGTATATACATATGTGTGTAGATATATTGCTGCACTTGCCTTTTTTATTGTTACAATTCGAAATTGAATTGTTGTTGATGGCAACGGAGCGCTATGGGCACCAGCCTTTACAATGTCTCAAACACGCGCCAGCAGTTGCTCATAGTAGAGTAAACATATTAGTATATACATATGTATTGTATATTTGCATTTGTTTATATGTACATACATACATAGGTACCCTATCGAAGTGGAAGTGCCACCATAAATGGGCTGCACATCACTTGCAGCATACTAACCTCCATGAAAGTTAAGTTAGTTTAAAAAATACTAAGGTGGTATTTTTATTACAATTAAACAGTTCTTAAACGAAATAGCTTAGTATATATATAATATATGTATGTATGTATCGGAGCTTCAATGGAATATTTCTGTTTTATTATTTTTTAATATAAATAAATTTATATATATATATTAGGGTGGCTTAGCCCGAGGGTAAAATTTATAGATTATAAAAAAAGAAATTTTTTGGAAAAATAAATTTAAAAAAAATTTTAACATCTACCCTAATATATATATATATAAATATCGAAGTAGTATTTCCAGAGCCTACTGTTAAATGATATCCATTAAGGCAAATTCTTCGAATACTAACTATCAAAACGGAAGGAGTAACCGTTATAAGAACAACAGCAGAAGTTCTTTTTATCAAATAATCACAATAGCCCTGATTCTCATTTAGCTTAGAAATCAGCTCAGTTCATAAAACGAATTTTTGACAAATATCCAAAAAAAAGAACTTTGGTGTAGTTATTTATATGAACATGAGTGTATGTAAGAAACTGAATTGAATAAACATTTACTACAATCATCGCGATTGCTTGAGAATCAATTAAGTATCGGGTTTTCCAGGAGGGATTATATGATTTTTAAAGATATACGCAAGAACAACGTTTACAATTTATTATCGAAGAAATGTTAAGAAAATCATCTTATCCGATAAGGCTCACTTTTATCTGAACGGTGCGAAGAAAATCCACAAATTATTCATGAACAACCATAACATTCACCTAAAGTGACAGTTTGGTGTGGTTTTTGGTCTGGTGGAATCATCGGTCCGCAAATTGGGAGAAAAGTTTGGAGATTCGATAATTTCAAGATATTGTGACACCAAATGGCCTCCAAGAAGTTTAAGTTTGATTTATTTAACACCATTAGACTACTTTTTATTGGAAAACCCTGTATATCTAATTGAAAAGTTTGCCATTTTAAAACTCAACTGTTAGATAATTTCTGTGTTTGCTCTTGTTTTTTGTACACATATGTATGTAATAAATAAATTATTTAGAGAAAATATTTGTGTGCAAGACAAAAAATGTTGTTATTAAAAAGCTTCGTTTTATTTTTTAGCCTGATTTATAAATAAAATAGTCCTATATAAGAAAAAAGTTTACGTAACGAGTTTCTCAAGAGAATTTAAACGATTTTCCTTCTTGGGGAGGAAAGGACGCGGGCAAAATTTCGAAACGATATTTCAAAAGCTAAGGGACTAGTTCACTTATGTACGGACAGACGGACAAAGCTAAATCGACACAACTCGTCACGCAGATCATATATATAAATTTTAAAATATCTATGCAAATAAGTTGATAATTGGCTGTAGCGTAACAAGGCTAGTCACACAGTTCTACAATAAGCTCAAGCAAGATATCATGTGGGTAAATTTCAATTTGTAATTTTGCGATCACCCAAAACTTTGCCTATTGGATGCCGCTTTAGTGCACCGTTTACAGCGAACGTCTGTTGTTTTTGTTGTAGCGGAGCAAACGTCTAATCGAGCACAGTGGTCAGCTGCTATGCACAACCGCCAGCCGCACAACAATTGCTGGACAAATTAACCGATTGTTTGCAAATCATTTGAATTCATTTTTACACACAATCATACAAATACGTTGCAATGAGTAAACAAACTCGTTATATTTCAATTTTCATTTGCCACAAGCATTGCAGTTGTTTTACTTTTCCAATTTTATGCCAAGCCAATTCATTTAATTTCATATTACAGCAGTTTGTTTTGCTTATGTCTATGACAATTTTTCTGCATCTCACACATTCGTATATTTGCAGGTTTGTTCTTTTACTTTACTTCATATTTGCCAAATACAGTAGGAATTTAACGTTATCAACGCCAGCCACTACTAGAGACAATTGCTTGCAACAACTTGCAGCAAACAGCATATATCAACAACAATAATTTCTCAGTGTGTTAATGCGCAGTGATCGTCCACAGAGTAAATCTGGAAGTTGTGTTAAAGTGGCTATCACTGCCAAGCGAATGAAATTTCGGTATGCAGCAGCGGCAGACGCGCATTAGATAAGATAAGAAGTGTGTTTGTTATTTCTTTAAATTCGTTTTTAATTTTATTCTCAGACTTTTAGTAGAAGTAAAGTGGTATGGCGGTGTTACTTTTAAAATGGAAAGGGAAAAGTTTGTACGTATGAATATGCCTTGTGATTGTGTAATCGCACTTAGAGCCGAGAACTTAATTACGGCATCATAAAATGATTTCACAAGTAATAATTTTCATTTACTAACTACGAACAACTAACAAAAATTATATGATATATTTTTATTGTTTTATAGTTACAAGTCAATTACCTTTTTCACTCCTCTAAATGCATAAACGTATAATTCCCTGCCGAAATTAAAACAAATCCGATCACCTCCATAGATTTGACTAGCCAGACCATTCTGTCCATCCGAACCACCGTTGATCATTGTATGCATAGAAATACCCGCACCAAGTCGAGCATCCATGGTAGCTGGCACACCGTATGCCGCCTGTTGTTGACCATTCACTAAAGTACCAGTGGCGGACGCATTACTACCATTCGCAGAACCATCACCACTTCCTTTGGAATTGTTTGTTGCAGATCCATTCACATTACCATTTATAGGGCCAACTACAGCAGTGCTACCACCACTGCTGGCACCACTTATTGTGTTTGGACACGAGTTATTATTAGGCAGCGACACAATGGAAACACGCACTTGCGGTGAACTTTGATTGGTGTTGTAGCCAACACGATTTGGACGGGAGTACTCAGACAGTGTGAGTAACCGGTAGGTGCCTTCACGCGTCACGAATTGAGTCTTCAAGTCGTCCTTGACATTCGGATCGAGTTGTGCGGCCATTACTCCGATTCTCTTATTTGTTTTGACTTGCTGAAGGTTGTATTGGCCGACTAAGCAAGCCGCAGATTGTTTTCAGCTAACGTGCTAGTGTTAAAGTAGGTAAGTGGGTTTGGCGAAAAATTGTTCAAATACCTTTTGGCGACCCCCCTCCACTTTAACCCTCCGATCGACTCGTTGTCGTCAGAACTCTTGTGGCATTCGCCACTGACTTGCTATCCCCTAATCGTTTGATCACACAACCACCCGACGACACAATATGAAGGAATGCTAATACACTTGCACGTTAACTTAAGGCTGTTGGTAATATTTGCAACTTTTCTTATAACTAAACTTGTTTTTCGGTTTATATGCACCGCGATAATGGAATTTTCTTTTACAATGGAATCACTATGACCACCACTGCTATTCTTCCTGGTAGCAAGTGGGCTTGGGGGCGCGGCCGTATGCGCTGCTTTGCCACTGCTACATTTGTTGTTGGGAGGAATTTTCTTTTCGCTTTTCACACTTTATGCATTTTCATTCTTGTAACTTCATAATCGACCACACGACGAAATTTCATTTTTTATTACATACACATGTGACGTAAATTTTCGGTTTCCAATTGGATTATTTAATTTATTGTAATCACTTAGTCCACCGCTATTTGTAATTAGAACTTTTTACACTTTTTCACAATTTTCCGTCGATTCCTTGCGTTTTTACTTTCATTCTAATTTTTTCTTATTTTCTAATTGACATTTCTCGCTAATTTGACAGTTTCTTGATAAATTCTCTGTTTTGACAGCTGAGCAGAATTTTTTTGTGCAACATTCTCCGGAACAGGTGACACAAAATGTTGCTGAGCGACAAATACTTAGCTATGCGGCGACAGGTGGCGCTAAAAGGTAATTGTCTCACATACAGATGGCACAGTTAGAGATTTTGCTGAAGTAGGGAGAAATATGGTTATGAATAAACAAAGAATATATAAGAATTGTTCCAAGTTCTTTGGAATAATACAAGTTAGCGCTTTAAAAGAGTTTTAATTTGCCTAAAACTCTGGGTTTGGATTCTTCATTGGCATCATAGAAATTTGAAAAATACATTCGATTTAGCTTAGATAATACAAATAAAGATGTAAATACCAATTCTATATCCCACACCTATAACCAACTCGACTGCGGTGCTCACTCGCTTATCGGTAAACCACACTATCCTCCGATTAATTTCTCATCTTCTATTTACTTCTTGATATATACATATATATATGTTTGAAGAATTTTTCTTATTAATAGGAAAATGTCATTTTGAAGGAAATAAGGGGCTCATTTAATATTAAGCAAATAACAGTGCTAAATGGCATTGGCAGGGCTAATCAGTCAGCGCAACAAGGTTGCTTTTACAACGCACAAACGTACATACATATAGACACATGCCTGTATAGCTTTCCCTCACTTACTTATGCTTGTACTTATGTATTTGGAAGACAAGTGGGAACTTACATTGAACTTAGCAAAGATATTTATAAAAAATATTTAAAAAAAAATCTCCTTCGTAAAAAGTCTTCAACATATAAAAGCGTGGCAGATGATACCCGCGTGGTCATTGAAAGCTAAAGCTTTTACGTGACGGATCTAACGGGAGTTGCAGTCAACGATGCAGTTTATAAGTGAGTTAATTTTATTACTAATAACTTTTATTAAAGAAAATTTCATATTTTGCAGCGCACATGCCGCTTCTCCTCGCTCTAAGTACCACCGTTTCATATGCGTCGAGCAGCACGTACGATGGCAAGCCGGGTTGTAAAACGCCGGGCGAAATCGGTAATGCCTATAGAAACTTTTGGGATCCGATGCGTTATTGGCGTTGCATTGGTTTAGATATGGAGCCTTTGCGAGAGAGTTGTCCCGATGTTACCGCCTTCCAACAGAGTTTGGGTCGTTGTGTTCCCTGGCGATATTGGAAATGGGAGGTACCCGTATATCCTCCTAGTTGTCCCTCTGGTGTTATGTGCATACAAACGGAGTCTAAGCCTTCTTCATTATACTCTCAGGAGTTATATCCACAAGCGCCGCCACAAGCATTAGTGCCAATAAGTCCGCTTTATCCACAAGCAATGCCGCAACCAATAGTGCCAATAACTCCCCCGCAAGCACTAGTACCGACAAGTCCCATTTCACAACCACAGCCGTCCACGAAGCCACACATTCTAGGTCCGCTACCACCGCAGCCTTCAGGGTCTCCCCAGATTGTGCATTCCCCTCTACCCTCGCCACCTTTTGTGCCGCCGCAGTCTCCCCAAGTATTTAGCCCACCATTTGTGTCATCGCCATCTCATCAGATACTGAACACACCATATCCAATGATTCCCTCACGACCACAATACCCAAGTGGTCTCAACGTTTAAACTGTTTGACCACTTAGAGAAGAGTTTTAGCGTTTTAGTTTTATATTTATATAAAATTATATATTTGTATTCATTTTATTAAAAATTTATTGAATCCACAACCAATTTATTTTTCAGGGACATTACTATAAGTAGAAGAGGCGCTCTTAAAATTGATGTATAATGGAAGATGATAGACTAAGAAAATTTCTTTGTTAATACTTTGAGCCATGAGAGCTTCATTATTTCTTCGAAAGATGTAAGAATCCTATCAATAAGCCGATTACTCGAAATCACCCTGAGAATCTCCGAACATATTATTTAGATCAGACCACTATACGATATAGCTGTCATACAAACTGGCAGATCAAAATCAAGATAAAGATACTTTTATGCTCTTTTATGCTATCAAAAATGGACATGTGAAGGGTATTATAGCGATAAATTTGTAGATAACGTTTTTATTTTTCTGTTCTCATATATAATTATTTTTTAATTGCATTTCTAAATTAATTACTTTCCAAAAGGCAACCGTAGCGTGCCTAAGCTTGTACTAATATTTCCATGCGAGTGTAGCAAGCAACAAATGCATTTGCGAAAGCTCGCAAAAGCTCTCGTAGCTCCCAACGAATGTACAAGGCACTTTTTCGTAGTTTTCGTAGGCCTCCCGCACTCAATCAAATATTATTTTTCGCACAGCTGCTTTCAGATAGTGCAAATATAATTTTAATGACTTCACTAATAAAAGATATCAACAAAAAAAAATTGAATACTTAAAAATATTAAAAGAGGTAAATATTAATGGCAAATATGAAATACATTAAGCATACAAATATTAAACAAGTGTTTGTCCGAATCAACAAAAAAAAAAAAACAAAAAATGCTGCACAAAAGTGCAAATGCAACATATGTGTGTAATTAGTGTGGCATATATAAATATGTAAGTGTGTGTGTGTGTGTGTGTTGCAGGTGCCTGTGACTATTTTAACGCAATTTTTGCGGAGGTCAAGTGCATATTTTATATACTCAAACACATATCTACATACATCGCTTGCAAATGCAAATGAAATCGCGCCTAATTGTATGCTTTGCAGTTGTTTCTGCTTGCAGTTGTATTTGTAATTAAGCGTAGAGATGCTTGTTTCCGGTAGCTTTGCTTGGAAGTAGGTCAGTGGGGCGTGCCAAAAGTACCACAATGCAAACAAACAACAGCTGCTCTAGACGCCCTGCACGACACAACTTCGGCGCGCTGTAATTGCGCCTTTTTGTTTGTAAATTACAAATAACGGTGAACGGTATTATGCAGTTTTTAGTGTGTGTGTGTGTGTTCGCATTCAGTAGGAAAAGAAAGGCTGGTGGGGGGAATGCTGTTTTTAAGTTCAAGTGTTGAAGAAAATAACATAAAATGGAAAATATGTCGGGAAACTTTATTGCCTATATAATTATATACTCCAAACGCTTTTTTTTTAATAAAATGGCATTACACCGACTTTGGTTAGAACTATATAAATATTGTTGTATCTTATTTTAAGACCCTTAGAAAACATTTAGGTAAAATAAATTGATTTTTTTAAAATTTGGACTGATGTGAGCTTTTCAAGTAACAGCGCGTAATACTTTTGTAATTTTTTAATAAAAAATATCAAATAAATCATTTAATGGCAAAGTAGCAGTTTGAAGCCATTGAATTTCTTACAGGGTACACGCACTGAGCATCGCAAATGGCCTTGCGCACATAAGGGTACTCAAGGTCACACATTTTATTGCAGCTGAGTTGAGACTTTCAAAATATTTTCTATTTACTAGCAAGCATTTCTTACAAATGTACAAGGCAATTAAGCAAACGTGCATATATTGACCCCTAAACTGCAATTAGGACCTGCCCGCCAAGGTGTGACATTACAGTTATTCACTAAAAGCGCAAGCATTTTTGCACCTTTTCGAGACAATTTTTTTCACATTTGCATTGCACAATTAATTAATTACACTTTCTACACGTTTCCACTTCAAATTTATCTACCAAAAGTGATTTATTATATATTATAAACAAACAGTTTACTATATGTACATACATGTGGCCGTGTGTAAATATGTATGTGAAACAATTTCGTATGCAATAAAACTCGCCACTTAATTATGATAAGCGAAATACAAGTGACAAGAGGCAGTTGACATGCAATTAGGAAATATTATACAGTTACTCTACGCTATGCTCATATACCGGTACATATATAGTTACAGCAAATAGAGAGATTGTAAACGCCCTGTAATTGTTCGTTGTGCTTGTTATGATAAGATAAGTTTGAATTGAACTGAAAGCCTAAGTAAAATAAAAAAAATGTTAACAAAAAAATGGAAAACTACACCTACACCTTCTTTGACAACACAACCACTGTCAATATCAAGGTCGAAATCTAAAATTCGCTCGAGGCAAACACGTGACAACCTTGAAGCTGACTAAGCCATTTCGGGGTTGCGTGGTACACGCTCGCTTCTAAGTAAACATCCGTTGCACATTTCTATGTGGTTAGGTATATATTATAATGTGAATCATGAAAATAGCAGAAGATTTTTGGAAGACACCACACTGGAAGACACTGATTACTCGGAGAATATAATACAACATTTTTACTGAGTATTCTGTCGTTTGAAGTTTAATGCCACTATGCTGAAATATAATACTTTAAATGAAGATAATCAATAAATATTCTAAATATATAATATATAGTGGAGATAGTATTTCTAACTTTGTTTTAAAATTCACTCACACCAAACTCCGTCGAAGTAACCAGAACAGATTGAGTTCGTTATTTGTGCAGTTCTTGCATAACTCCGGAGACTACTCAAAAAGCATTCTTGAGTAATATGTATTAGCATATTCTAGACTGTAATATACTTATATGGAAAATGTATATATGTACAAGTATATAAATAACCAGTTATAATAACTATTAAATTGGAAAGTTTATAATTAACTCAATTACCAGGTAATTACCAAGGTAAGAGTGTGTTAAAACGATGATCAAAGCTTTCGCGCCTATTTGCGCTGCACAGTGGTGTCGTTAGAGATATATGTGGACAAATATACTCGAACGAAAATCATAAATTTTCATATTCTTAGAGATGGAAAAAAGTTTTCGATTATTATTGTGCTTTGAAATTTAGTTCAACATAAAGGCTTGAGTAAGAGCGAGCAAAGTAAAAGGGTTTAAGCAAAACTAGTGGGAAAGTAAAAAACAAAAAATTGAATATTAAAACTTTATTAACGATATTTAAAATATTTTTTGTGCTAAAACCTTCTAAAGTGTAACCGTTTAGTTCTAGCAGTTCAGTCAGCTGCATCAGTTTAACTTTAAGCTTTCTTTTTTGCCAAAACAGCATTTTTCAAATTTACTGCAGTGATTACTCGGAGACAAATGATCCGAACACCATCAGATGCGTGTTCTGTATATAGTTCTCATATACTAGTAATAAGCCACAATTTTTTGATGTGATCTCAGAAGCAAACGACAAACATTTTGGTTCAAATTATTATATACTATTGAGACTTTGTTTAGGGTTTATTCACGGGGAAGATCGAAATCGCGGATGTAACAAATAATATTGATATCCATAACGGTAATATGAATATATTAAAACTCTTCTCAATAATTAAAAACGAAATTGGATATTTAAAATGTACATTAATTTGTTTCCAAAAAATTTTTTATTTAGCAAATTTTTAAATGTCCAACACCACTGTGCAGCGCCTTATACTAACGGATTAGTTCAAGATTACGAAACTTCTACACATACGAAATTATGAATGTCTTTTAGCGAGCGCTTGTGAAAAGCTCGTTTCGAAAGCTCCCGCAGCCAGTCAATAGTTTGCGCTAATGAAGTGTTTGGCACGCAACAAGTTGGAAATTGACTTTAGTTACTTATTTGCATGCGCTTTAAGCGTCGAGAAACAGCTGTTTGGTGAATAGTTAACATTTTTTTTTATATGTATTCCGTTTATTGTGTTTTTCCGCTTGGCTAGTGAATATTATATAATATATTGTAAGTGCTGAAACGTTCTGCACATACAGTAAATCATAAATGCTTAATTAAGTGATAAAACGGTTAGCTACGTATTTCTTGTTCACATAATGTAATATTCTAATGCCATCACCATAGTCTGGTAACATATGTTTGGTATACCGGGAACATCTGGTGAACAAAATATATTCAGTTTGTTATAGTATAATTACATATTTATATTTTGTGAATTTTGATTTGAGTGAAATTGCGAGTAAAAGTTTCGGAATTTAAATACCATTTGAAAGACTTTTGTTAGTAGAACCAAAGTGGTTTAAAAATTAATTAAAAATCTGCGGAATTGTTTTTGAAATGTATTATTTAGATGATCCTTATTGAGTGATTGTGCAAATTTAAGATATAGAATCCAGTATATGGCAAGCTTATAATTTAAATTATATTAATTAAATATGCCAAATATTCGCACCTAATCAGTAGAGAGAGAGTCAGTTATACTACAAAGACCCATTTTTAAAGCATTAGTTTAAGTCAATTCAGTTCTACCAGTTCCAATATGAATTAAAAAGCATTTTTAATGTTTTTCGTAGAGCAAAAAAATGAGGTGAAAACTCCTTTGAGAAGCTTGAGATTTTTCATTTCATCGGCAGTAATTAAAGAACAAAGTCACGAGCTTCACTAAGAAATTTTCGACTAATTTTTGCTTAGCTTTCGGAGTTATTCAGAAGAAAATTTCGTGAAGATATCTTAATGATGACTTAATGTCAGCTTTTGCGTGACTAAGCTTGAACCATCTGGGATCTTATACTTTTAGCCATATAGGGAACCTAGCTAAAGTAGCATAGCTAGTGTGAAATTAAAAAAAAATCGTTTTTTTACAATTTGGAAAGGCTTTAGAATAACATATTAAATGTTTAAATCGGTATCTCAAATAGTTTTTGAGTTACCGCCTTCTAAAATGTAGCCGTTCAGTTTAAATTTTTCTGAAAACTTCATTTTCGAAATTGCTTGAGAGATTACTTGGAGACCAATGGTATGCATGATTTTTCTAAATTTTTTGTATATAGTTCTCCATATAATGACGTAGCAGTTCTTTGAT